AGATGGAGGGTTGGCAGAAGGAAGGACTTCGGTGGTGATAGATGGAAGGTTTACAATGGTGCTATGTTTTTCTTATATGCTTTTGTTACCCCAGTTAGTTGAGTAAGAAGAAGACAACGTGCGAGTTACTCACTATCCTCCCATATCATTCTCCCACATTGCGGTGCCGTATTTTACTATCCCGTTCATTATCCTCAATCCTCTTCTTTTACGCATTTAGCATTGCTCTTTACGCATAAGTTGGTCTCTATTCCATGGGTATTTGCTCCGATATTCCCCCTTCTTTCGGACCACGATTCCTTACAAGGCCCTCTCAATATCCAAAACAAAGAATTCTAGATGCTTATTTCTTGGCAGGTAACATGGGGTATCCGAAACAGATTCGAGAACATTTACATAATAATTACTACTAAGCTATTGTCCACCGCATAGCTAGTTGTGTCCTTAACTAGCTCAGTATGGATACATCTCATCATGTAATCTATTCCGGGACTGGTGGGAATAGTTATCGCTCTTCCGGAAGGGCGGTTTTCGACTTGTCCAGGACACGGGGTCCCCCGGTTGGAGACATTTGAGCACCAGGAAGCTTCTGGAGGATCTTTCTAAGCGACCCGAGGGTCTTGAATTCATGCTCTTCCGGTAGTTCATGGAGTGCGTTAATACATAGAGATGTGGGTTGCGGGGACAAATTGGCCAATATATAATCTCAATATTCACAGTACCTGGCGCCAACGGCAGGTTACTCCTGGACTGTCTCCTCGGGAGTGTCATCTGCTGCGATAAACTACCCAGCAGTCATGCAGCCCTAGTGACCGGCTGTATGGAAGCGAGATGGAAGATACATTCCAAGAGCAAGAGAAAGGAAGACAATGTTCCATAAATTTTGTCTTGTGTGGTACTTGTGGATTAGGGTGATTGAGGGAGAGGGTGGGGAAGTTGGGATTGGTGATGCGGGGGCTGGAGTGTTGGGACGGCGGGTCCGGGATTTCTTGGAGAGGTGAGAGTTGTATGGGGAATGGTATAATATTGTGGACTTTTGAGTTGTACCATTGGGTATGTAATCGTGCTTTAGTTTCACTGTGAAGTTGCAACAACATTGATTCCCATATCTGAAGTATGTATCAATTACAGGTAAAAGGGGTGAAAAATAGAATCGTGAACGAGTGATAAGAAATGGAAAGGGTTTGCACCGCAAAGAATTCAAATGGAAATGCATTATGCCGGACCATATTTTTTCGAGTCTGAGAAGGGCTAATTATTGACATCGCCGGAGATCTAAATATGTGACCCGGTCGTCCCTTTCTGAGTACTTGGCGGGTATGGATATTGGAGTGATGAATAGACCTTGGACTGTGGAGCTCTGGAGATATCTCTGTAGCAGCGTCACAAGTCTCTCGTAGTGGTTCGTCCTCAGTCCTTAGAACCGTCTATCACGACAGCTGTTCCACGTTTTGAAACTGAGAGCAATGGGGCTTAGGTGTATTCGAAAGTAAGCTAAGTGGATTTTGGGGGTAGTGCTACAAAGGAAAGGGCCGATATTACCCCAGAGATATCCCTACGAGGTACCGAACTCGTAGTATGTACCAGGCGTATGGTTGATGTCCCATGGTCAAAGGTGGCCAGGCCAAGACAGGAACTCAAGAGGATCTGTATTGAGGGAACCTTTTTAATGTTTAAATCGCTGGTTTTCCCGTTGATGGCAAGAGAATGGCGCAATTCATCAACATGCAAGGGGAGGCCGGTCAAGGAAATGAACCTCGAGATGCTAATTCCGAGCCTTGATTTGCTCCCCCGTTGCCGTCTAATCCGATCGAGTGTTGCGCTGTACGCACAGTCCATCACATCCACCGCCCGATAAAGAGCCTCTCTCTGGCTGTAGATAGTGGTTTCATCTAGGATAGGATCGCCCTGTAAAGCGATGGGAAAAAATCTTCGGGGTATTGTTAGTGGGCACTTTTGTATAGTCCGGTGTAAGATACTTCAGGGCCTTACTTACACCCCAGTGAATTGACGAGGAAGATGGGTTAATATTTCACATTTCAAATCGTCATCCATGGCATCAGGGTCTGGATCGGCGCCTAGTCTGCTTGTCAGATATTTCCTGAGGTCCTAATCCTTCGAGTGTATGGAGATCGTGAGGAGTGACTTCGCAAGATACCTATCGGGTTCTGGTTGGACATAAGCTCTCCCCGCAATGAAGAGCCGTGTGTTTGGAGACCGTTGTATCATCTGGCATAGAGACCGGAGAAATTCGACCCTGTGTTCAACACGAAGCTCGTCCAGTGTGTCAATGAATACCAAAGCCAGCCGATATAAATTGAGAACCTCTGGGAACAGGTCAAGGAACTCCAGAAGCTGAGGAGGGTTCCTTCGCTGTCTGGAATGCCTCATTCATTTCCCACGGTACTTCCGGGAGTCCGGTGACGAACTGCTTCAAGAGACTTCTGATCATGTTTGTTGGTACTTCGTCTTCCTGGTCAGGGTAATCGCAGTACAAACAAGCGATGCCAAAATTGAGCCGAGCAGTCTTGTCAACCAGGGTATCAATGGTGAGGGAGCTTTTACTGAAGGGAGTCAGTAGTAAACTGCCTATCAGGAAAATTAAAAACACCACCAGGCAAAGTATTGTCGACTCCAGGAGCCCCATGGCAGAACAGAATTTCATTTGCTGAGTCGTCTTTGGCCCACCTCCGTGCCTCGAAATAGCTGGTTTCGAGCACACATTCTCCCACACCTCAGACCCTCTTGGTAGGAGAAATCCAGGATAGAATCTGTTGCCTCTCAACTATGGTAATGGCAGGATGGGCGATAATGTGTGTGTTGCTCAGGGTGTAGGTACTTGTGACGTTAAAGCTATTGGGGTTTCAGCTGATATTGGTATCTATTTATCCGCATACTACTTGCTTGCTTATGGATATTGCAGATCGTTTTGAGCAAGGCTATCGCAATGTTGGGAATTGTGAAGGAAGGTGCAATGATAGGCTCTAAATATCGAGGGGAGCCGTAGTTCTTAACTTATCTGCAAACTAGTACCCCCCCCTACTCCACTTTTCTTCTGCGGTAGGGAGGAAATCCCAGTCTTATACTACACCATAGGAGCAAATATATATAATCTGGCCTCATGCTAGGGTGTTAAAGTTGACCTTGCTAGTAAGGTCTCAGTCTTTTTTTGTTCCGGCTTTCAGATAAACTGGGGCTGATGGGATCCATTCCAACAGCGTTTTAGACCCCCAAGTTTCGCAAGAGCACCTTTGGCAATGCGCAGTACACAGTTCATAAATGCATCCCACATCTCAGACGCCAATCAATTACTGGTATGTACCATTTTCGGGAAAATGAGCTACTCGTTAGAGTGCCAAGAATAAAAGGCCTACTCAAACCCCCCAACCTCATCGGGCGGAGTGAACGCCCCCCTCCAGGTGAGACATCTCACTCAAAACTAACAATCTGTCGGTGGCGGGTGGCTGCTCTTTACCCGATCATACTTGGCACCCTACCGTTCTTGGCACACTATTAAGCAGTCTAACGTTGAAAAGAGTGAAACCTTCGCAAAAACTTCCTCGCCTCTGGCCCTGCTCTAGAGCCTAAAATATATTGAATCTCTCTCAAAAAAATGGGGCTTTCTTTTGTATCAAAATTTAGGATAAATATTCCCGTTGGAGTGGAAGTATTTTTTCTCTTTATTAGAGGGATTAATTCGGAATCATGGGTTTGTTTGGAGGTTTCTAGATACGAGTTGGCGATATTGATATCGTTTGTGTATTTTTAATTTGAGGGAGTTGACGTTATGTTAGTGGGGCTCCCAGGCCATAGCCTGATGCACCTCGGGGCCACCGCCATGCCTCCCGAGCTCCCCCCTATCAGAAAAAATCTACGGAATTGGCAAAAAAAAAGCAAAAAATACACACAATCTCAATGCACCTTGAGACCTCCCATGCCTTTTGACAATTGGAAGGGATTCCTGCACGTTTATGTTTACTACCGGTAGCAGTGATCTGGTATGAGGTAACCCGTGGAAGCTTAATCACATCTACGAAAGAATTAAGCAAGACATCCAGGCTGTGGCAGGCAGTCATCTGGGCGGTAATCTCCAGAAAAAACAACCTCCCAGACATCATCACAGGAACGGCCCCGCGGAGAATAAGTTACCTTACTTAAAAGTAGAGTTTTGGGTGTTCCCTGGGCGGGAAATTCTGGGGGAATCGCTAGAACCTTCATACTAGGACCAAGGTCATCTGCGAAAGTTGTGGAACTGTTTTTTAGAAACTTTAATTTGTCTGGAGGCTCTCACTTATCTTTCCGTATCCCAATTCCCGCGCTGTTGCCTGTGGCCGGAGCTTGGATTCCTCGCTTGGGCCCTGTCTGCTATTTAGTTGATGCCTGGCCAAGCCTTCCAATTCCTGGTCGTTGACATCACTTAGCTCGTAGTTAGAGTTGGATTTCTCAAGAAAGATTAACACGGGGATTTCTCTGTAGGTCGTGAACCGATGGACGTTCTAGGCAAACGTCTGCTTCGTCTAGTAAAAGAACCCGCCCTAGACATGCGCAATGTCTGAAATCTCGACTAGTTGCGTTTCCCGCGTGCAGGAGTCCGTCCCGACTTCCTCAGCTCCCACCATGTACAACGGTTTATAGAGGATTTTCGAGATTCCTTCTACCGTCAATGTTTTACCCACCCCTGGGCGCCCACCACCACTAATATTTTGTGTTAGAGCTTGCTCCGCGCCATCCCAAAAAAAACGTTATTACGAACGGGCAAAAAAAACATACTGTACAACAGCAACATGTCCCTTCCCCTTTCCCTGTATAACATCGCCTATTCAAAGCCTAGGCCCACTATTACCTGTACGGATTTCAACCTGTGCTTTCGCGATTTCTTTTATGCTTCAGGAGAACAAGGCTCTCGAAAGCATCTAGATTAAACCTCCTTGCATTTACATCTTGGACCGCAAATTCGGCTGCGCACGCTATTACGACATTAGTCTCCTATGTGATGTGGGCTAATCGATGGCATAACTCACTCCATAGCTTATCCCAAAGGTGAACCCCAGTACTGTAGGCGAGCATAGGAGAAACTGTTCCTCTGTCATCTCCTCAGGGAACAGTGCGTCCTTTATACCTTCAGCTGTCTTTCCGGCCTCTACAAACTTCTTCTTTGTTGCGTCCAGGGTTGCACCCACTAGCTTGATCTTCCTATGAGGGCCAAGTATGTAGCTTCTCCGAGGGTTTGTCCAAATTGTTCGCTTTACAGCAGCAGCCACAATACCACGCCCAAGTTTAACTATGCTGCTTGAGCCATAGATCTCGCCCTCATCCTCGTTTTCGTTTTCCGAATCATCGGCGTTGACGGGGGATGTGTGGGGGGGTAAGACTCTTTTACGGGACCCATCCAATAGTGGGATTGATCCTTCTAAAGATGCTCGGGTCAACCATAATGCGTCCTTTCACATCTACCTTCACAACCCCCCTTTTACACTTGAAGAAAGCGAGACCCTCATAATACCTGTAATGCATGTCCTTTAGGGATCCGAACTTTCCTCCACGCTCAATAAGCCTTTCTCTGACATCCTCTTCGTCCTCGTGATACGCCAAGGGAAATACCCCAAGGCTATCGATTCCTCTCGGGCCCCTGAATTCGTCAATTTCGAGAAGGGCGCCGGCCTCCCCATAGGTTTTGCCCCCGTAGTCAACGTAGGGGCAATCTAATTGGGGGGATTCACCGCGGTCTAGGGGTTCCTTCTACTCACCCCAGTTGAGCTCAGGGAATCTGGGCTGTCTGGAGGCAGCGCAGATGGTGTAAATCAGGGTTTTTGGAAGGAATAAAGCCCAAAGGAGGTCGAAAGTAATCTCGTGATGTTGCAAAAGAGGGTAGAGCCTCTTAATGGTGGAGGCATATTCGGCTGAGATATAATCGTGGAACAGAGTGAGATGGGAGGTAAGGGTCTTGTTCCGTTGCCCCTCGGGAACAGGCCTCGCCTTTGAAAGCTCGTTGGCAAACTGTAATAGATAGTTGAACAGGAGATTCGGCTTGACCTATTGGTTTATTACTGTAGCGAGCACACAAAACGGCATATCGTGATACCAGCCGCTTCTTAGAACCCCGGATTTCGGGTGGTGGTGAATGAAGTAGAGGAAGCGACGAGTAGCATACCATGGGCTTTCCCGAAGCCTAATTCCCGAGACACTCTTCAGAATCTCCCTCAGGACTGTCCGGATTTCGATACTCTCGATATCAATGTAGGTTCTCTAGTATTTCTTTTGCCAATCTAGCTCCAAATGGCCAGGTGTTAGTCTCCTCCACAACCAAACAGATTCTCCTTCTTTTTTTTTGCGACGGGGGGGGATTTCCACACCAAATCTTCGGCGTATCATTAACAAGAACTCCTCCTATTTACCCCCTCTGTCTGTGCGAGATGGCGAGGATTCTGCGAAATAAAAAAATCATATGTTGTCTTGTTGTATCTGGTTTGACCGCAATAGCATCTCTAAATTTCGACGCCGCACCAAATTCAGAGAATTATAATATCATATAGTTTATCTAGCCTTCTGAATTCTAATTTGCTTCATCTATGGAGGTACTGTACAGCTCCTAGGTTTTGTAGGGTTCACAAGCGAGGTTTGCTGCCCTTAGCCCCTGTGGAACATACAAAACTTAGGAGCTGTACCTCGGCAATGGGCTCCTTCTTGTCTAGCGCCTCGCCATCATGGTTCCATCCAGTAGCAGCCCTCCAACGTTTTGTGATAGGTCAAGTCTCGGCATCCTAACGGCGGGGCTTTCATTTGTATCAGCTTTGGTAGAACCGCTGGCAGCGGCCTTCTTCTTTCTACAATTATCCTTAGGTTAGTTTTGACAGATTTTTTGTTAAGCTTTCATTAACCAGCGATTTAGGCTTGGACACGCCCACCTCGCGGAATCCCACATTAGAGTCTAGTAGCGGGGAGAGCGGCTCCTCATAATCTGGCTCCGCCTCAATAGTTTGGTGACAGGTCCACCTAAGTCTGCTTCCATCGACCTTCTACTACTGTAATTCGTATGATAGGGCCATTCAAGTTTCGGTCTTAGAGTGCGGTGAGCATTGTACAAAACTGGGGAGAGAATTCTAAGTGCGTTTTACATGCAAAGCAGCCATGTTCACCACATTATAACACCACCTCTTCTCAATCAATAAAACCCAACAACTACCGCATACCTAAGAGAGTTCCTTGGATTTTCGCTTCCGGGCTGTCACAAAGAAACATCTCTTTTTTTGGGATGTCTATTGATCAAAGGGTAAAAATGAAATAGGGTCTTGGCGCCTCTCGCATAGCAAAGAGTGGTTTTGTCGCCCTTTTCCAGCCCCAATTGGGTAATTTTAGTTGCCAAAACATTGCTTTATTTTCCCAGCCTAAATATTTCGTGTATGAAGAGTTGGCATAGTTCTGAAGCTTTTGTACCGGTATTTTTTGTATTCATTGGACAATCTTGGAAGGAAATTCGGCCACTTGAAGTTGGCTGCTTTTGGTGTAGTACGCTTACCCTACCAGTGATTTCTGTCTCTAGCCTTGTACATCTTCCCTGGGCACGAACCGGTATTTGAGACATCGACCAGCGGAGGCATATCAGCACTGAATGCAACCGCAGGGTGCTGTGCTGTACTACCCCCCCAGCTGTTGGAGGCGTTGGGGATCCACCCCAATTGGATGGCATCATTTTGCAAGACCAAATGTCCTACTTTCGGAACCCGATTTTCTCCCCCGTGAAGGAAAAAGAAAAGAAGTGAAAAAAAAAGTTTTCTTCCCACTGTAGTACCAGTACTCGGCAATCAATCGAAGTGCAGCTGAGGATCACAGTGGGCCAGCATCGATACTGATATGTCTCGCCATGTATTCTATTCGATGACATGTGGATATAGCCACCGTTCTTCTAGCAAGATAGATTACTATCCGATCCCGAAGATGAAGTTTCCCGTACAGGGAGATTCGAGGGCGAGGAAACTTCTGGGAGGTCCGCCTGAATGAACCGAAGGCCTTAGATGGATGCTCTTCAGACATTTGCCGAGAGCCCCAATCCATACAAAATGCGAGTTGTGAGGAGGATGTGGTCTGTAGAATCTCAACGACTTTTGCAGTGACTAGCCGCTATTAGCTCATTTATGCTTCCAAAGAGCATGCGGGTTCTCTTTAGGAATGCCTGTTCCGAGGGTAGACTGCCTTAGCAGCCATGCGTCCCTAGCGGCCCCTTGTGTGGAAGGGAGGTGGAAGATATATCCCAAGATCAAAAGAAAAAAAATTATCTCATTGAATTTTTTGTCTTGTATTATAAGTGTGAACGGGAATGGTTGAGGGTGAGAATAGGTGAAGGCTGGGGTCGGTAATAAGGGAGCTGGGATATTGGGACGGAAGGGATAGAGAATTGTATAAGAGGAGTATAATGTTGTGGACTTGTGGCTTGCAAATTTGGGCAGGTAATATTCACTCGGTTTCACTACGGAGTTGCAGGATCACCGGTTTCCACTTCTAAAGTGTGTATTACTTTCTAGTAAGAAGGGGTGAAAAACAGATTATGAACGAACTATGATATAAGAAATAGAAATAATTTGCACGACAAAGAGTCCTAACAGAAATACATTATTGCAGACAAAATTCTTCAATTCTAACCAATGCTAATTCCTGAAAACGCCGGAGACCCAGAGATGTGGCTTAATCGCTCTGTTCTAAATAGTTGGAGGGAATGGATGGTAGATATATGCATATGCCTCGAGTTATCGTGTGCTGGAGCCATTGCCTTAGTAGCGTCCTATAGGCCTCGCGGTGGTATGTCCTCAGTCCGGAAAGTGGCGCATCAAGACTGAGGGTTCGTGTTTTGGGTTGGAGAGCAATGAGACTTCTGTGTAGTCTAAAGTGAGTTGGTCAGATTTCGGTGGGAAAACCGCCAGGGAAAGGCCCGACGCGCCCTCAGGGATAGTCCCGTGAGGTAACTTACCTGCGGCATGTACCAGGCGTACGGTTGACGTCTCACAGTCAAAGGTGACCAGCCCAAGACAAGAACTCAAGAGGGTCTGTATTGAGGGAAATTTTTTAACGCTTACATCGCGGTTTTCGTCGCTGCCGGCAAGGATATGACGCAATTCATCAACGTGTAAATGGCGGCCAGCTAAAGAAATAGAGTTCAAGATGGCGATACCAAGCTTTGATTTGCTTCCGCGTTGTCGTTTAATCCTTTCGAGCGTCGCACTATAAACGCCATCTGGCACGTCCGCCCGGTGAAGAGTCTCTCGCCTATTGTATATGGTAGTTTCGCCTAGGATAGCATCGGCCTGTAAGGCAATAGGAAGAAATCTACAGGGTAATGTTAGAGGGCTCTCCGGTATAGTGCGGTGGTGATAGACAGTGGCAGGGTACCGGGGCCTTACTTACATCCCAGAGAACTGTCGGGGCAGATGGGTCAATATTTCACATTTCAGATCGTCGTCCATGGCATCAGGGTCCGGATCGGCGTCGAGTCTCCTTGTCAGGTATGCCCTGAGGTCCTCATCCTTCGGATGTATGGAGATCATCAAGAGTGACTTTGCAAGATATTTATCGAGCTCTGGCTGAACATGGACTCTCCCCGTGATGAAAAGTCGTGTTTTTGGTGACCTGTGGATAATCTGCCGTAGAGACTGGAGAATCTCTACCCTGTCTTCAATATGAAGCTCGTCTAGTGCGTCAACGAATACGAAAGCCTGCTCATATAGCTCAAGAACCTTTGGAAACAGGTCAAGGAGCTTCGGAAGCTGAGGAGATCGCCCCCCGAGATGTCTCTTCGCTGTCTGAAATGCCTCATTTATATCCCCTGGGACATCCGGGAGCCCTGAGATAAACTGCTTCAGAAGACTCCCGATCATGCTTGTTGGAATTTGGTCTTCCTGGTCACGGTAATCGCAGTACAAACAAGCCACACCAACATTCCGCCCAGCAGTCTCATCGCACAGGGTATCGATAGCGAGGGAGCTTTTGCCATAGAAAGTGAGTAATACATCGTGTATAGCGGGAATTAAACCAATTACCAGATGAAAGTCTTTCCTGCTCCTGGAGGCCCATAGCAGAATAGAACTGCACCTACCAAGCCGTTGCCCTTGTTTTGCCTCCATGCCTCAAATTTGCCAGCTTGAAGCACCCACTTCCCAACACCTTCGACCCTCCTGGTAGCCATATCGTGATGGCTCTTCCGGGGCTCGAGAGGAGAAATCCAGGATAGAATCCGCAATCTCTCGTCTGTGGCAATAGTAGGATGGATAGTGATTTGTGTGTTGCTCTGATTGTAGTTGCTTGTAACGTTAAAGCTATTCGTGTTATTGACGAGATATTTATTTCTGCTTCCCTCCATACTTCCCGCTCATAGATATTGTGGACCGCTTTGAACAAGACGATGCAATGTTGGAAATTGGGAAGAAAGATGTAATGAAAAACTCTAACCCTCAAGGGGGGGGTAAAAGTACTTATCCACCAGTACCTACCCGTGCCCCACCCCCTCCTCTCTTCCGCGTTCCACACACCCTCAGCACAAAAGAACAAGAATATTACCAAGAACGTCAATTCCAGTCAAAAGCCACTAGAGTGGCTATACTATTGCTGCGTTTCTGTGAGGATTATTGCACTTTGGTGCTAGGAGATGTGTTTGGTGTTGTGCGCCGGCGGTGTGCGGTTTGGGGGATACCATCATACGAGTCTCGGCGCTGAAAGGTGCCGTGCTTGTTTTTAAATACTGGCTGGTTGTAAACGTTGTTGACTAGGGTGAAGAGAGGGCTTGGCATGAGTGGAATCGCTCCAATCCCCAATACTAGGAGCTGAGTGATACCAAATCGGTTATCAACCCTGCCCATACTAACGGTTTCGGCTATCACACAATAAATGCTTGGCTCGGACACTATCAGCGACCCTGGCCGTCCCAACCTGCCACATCATGACAAAAACCTTCCAGTCATCCTCAAACGGGGTCGGTGGGCCAAGTCCGATTCTCCGGGCGTCGATCCCATCAAACCAACTCGTGCCCTAAGGCGAGGTGTTCTACTGATTTAAGAATGCCTAGCTTGATTAGCTTTCTTATACATGGCTATACACTTTCATGTTGCCTACAAGTAAAATACAGGCCGCCTCACAAAATGGCAAAGAACAATCAAGAAAAGAAGTCTGGAAAAAAAGCAAAGCAAGGATCTTTCGGATTCTTAAATTCTTTTTTTGCGGTTAGAAAAGGGTCCTGTGGGTCTCCCCGGCTACGC